AGGGTCCCAAAAAGAGACTGGCAAGAATTAGTCTTGGCACTCCAGACAATACATTGTGTTCTCCTCCAAGCCATAGTATCTTACCCGGTTGACAGGCCATACACCTGGAAACAGTATACCTTTACAAGAAACGGGATAAACACCAATTCTATTTCTACTTTATACCATCTAAACTTCTAATCCACAAACTTAAAACGGGTATATCTAGCACTCTAACTATCTTAGCGGCTTCCTAAAGATATAGATAATAATAGAGAGTATTCGACCTATATAGCCTCAAAGGATGCCCTATCGATATTCTTATAGTTCGGTCAAGTGAATAATATTACAGAAATAAGTGACATCGACGACGAAGTAGCTATAAACGATAATTTGAAGTGGAAACTTTATTTTAGGTGCTTAAACCGGATATAGAGTGCAAGGTCTAGATCTAGTAACAGATTACACTTTTCCCTAGTCATCTACGGTATAGGAGACTGGATTAACTTAAAATATTAAGATTGCCTACAACCGTTCACTATCAAGGAGTGTAATAATAGAATGTTAGTGGAAGATTACAACTACAGGGTTTAGAAAACAGTCCATGGTGGACCCGCCTCCAGTCTTCAATAGGGGTTACTATAGCACGGAACTTTAGGGTCATAATCGGCTACTATGACAAAGTAAGTTTCTGGTCAGAGATCGACAAACCTATCTTAAAGTTGCCGTTGATTAGAGTTTATGTTAACTATAAATATTTTCCAGATACCTAATTAGTATCGCACAAAACTTTTCGCCGCTTGGGTTGTGGCGGGGCATTCAGGATGAAGGTCGACGAGAAGAATGCTTGTAGAGGCAAAGAAGACCTGCATGGTAAGGCCAATGAAAAATTAAAGGACAAGACGTACGGCCATATGTAGCTTTTTTCTATCAGCATAGTCTTGGAGAAACATCGTTAATTGCCATATTTTAATGGGGAAAGTCGGTGCTCTTTCTGTCACTTCTCGAAGTCATACTTTTGATGAAAGTGGCGATACCTATAGGAGATATAAAACGACATCTATTAGTCGGGCTGACGACCTTGAATTCACAGCACAGGGCGACTACAAGTTTTCATATCGTTGGTCACAGGGTATTATTGTGAGACCTCATCAAGCCGCAAATAGTTCTATCTCCTGGGTACGCGGGGATACCAAATATGCTCTAATCATACAACTGCACTCCCTAAAACCGATTATATCCGCGAACCCCTGGAGTTAGCATGGATCGAAATTAAAATCCCTGAATTGAAATTGATCAGCAACTAGGGTGTACCAATCGAGTTGAAGCCTTTCGGGTTCCGAGAGGGTTCTGATAACTTCGGCCGACAATCATCGGCTTTGTTTATACTAACATATACCAACACCTCAAATTCATCGGTGTTAATATCATGCAATTCCTTAACTCCTGTTCCCGTGTCATATCTTTTCTTTTCTTTTTTCTACTGTTAATGCTGCTGCATTCTTCATTATGCTCAGATACAACTAAACCAGGTCACCCAACCCAGCACCACCTCACGCTATCAGCTTTCTACAATGACCATAATATCGTCTAGTCCTGCCTTTGACAATATCAGAGATATTGAACAGAACACAGCATATTCACCGACGGAAAACCAAAATGTGAGCCAACCAAGCGAAGACTACCTCCATCAACCCAACGAAAAGGATCACTCGAGTGATCCGGGCGCCAGCGATGACGATGTACGCAAAATCAAGGGCTATCGATGGTTTCTAATTTGCGCTGCTCTTTACTTATCTGCATTGATGTATGGACTGGATACAACGATCGCTGCGGACATACAAGGGGCGGTAATTCAGAGGTTTGGCCAAGTCGACCAACTCGCCTGGATTGGGACCGGGTTCCCTCTTGGATCGGTCGCTGTCATTCCACCCTACGAATTTCTTTTCACCACGTTCAACATGAAATGGCTCTACATTGCCCGGATTGTCTTGTTTCAGGGCGGGTCTGCTGTCTGTGGTGGCGCTCCGAATATGGGTGCCCTGATTGTTGGACGTGTGATTGCTGGTGCCGGAGGAACTGGTATCTATCTAGGAGGACTAAACCACTTCTCGGCTATGACGACTCAAAATGAGCGTGGCACATATCTCGCTGGCACTGGGTTTGTCTGGGGTTTGGGAGCGATCCTGGGCCCTGTGGTTGGTGGCGGGTTTTCGGATTCATCTGCCACTTGGCGATGGGGATTCTACATTAATCTTATCATCGGTGCTATCACACTCAAAGATCGACTTCTTAGTCTGGGCTATGTTGGATTCATGCTCAGCGCAGCGATGTGGGCGACCTTTGCGATGGGCTTAATCTTTGCCGGTGGTATCTGGCAGTGGAATGATGGTCGTAATATTGCAATGCTTGTATTATGGTGAGTTTTGCTTGCCCTTTACGCACTGCAGCGGAACTTGTGCATCTTTACCACCCCCGAACATCGATCGTTTCCCGGAATCACCATGCAACTGGGATACTCCGTGGGCAGCTTGAAAGTCAAACCAACAGACGCCCTCAGTGCTATCAACCTACAGAATGTTTGCGCAGATTGGAGCCACAGTCATCTGTCTCGTTATTTCCAGCCAAGCGTTCCAATCAAATGCCATTAGCAACTTGAATCATGTTTTGGCAGGCCAGGGATTCAGTCAATCAGAAATTCAAAGTGCTGTTGCTGGATCCCAAAGCACGCTGTTTGAGAAGCTCGGCGTTGACTTACGGACTGCAGCTATTGAAGCAATCGCCTCCGCGATGGCAAGGGCCTTTATCATTCCACTTGTAGCTGGCGCGTTAGGGCTTGTTTGCTCTCTATTGATGAGCCGGGGGAGATTAAATGATGGCTTAAAGTTCAAACTGAACAAGATTGTATGGCTTTCTTGGAGTATGATGGTTATCGTCTAGTAATATAGTGTTGGGATCGAACAACTTCTTGCTTCGAGGGGAGTTAAATCATGTATACATTGTTTAGGTACGCGATTATATCTAGACTATCTGCACAGTTCGACTGTTGTTTTAATCTCATTCAGTTTCGTCTTTCTTATTGTTCCGGTCCAGTCGATTGCCACTAATAGCTCACCCGCGTGTTATGGTTGCCCGGGTGAGTAGGGTGACGCCGCTTTTGATCGTTTGTTGCTCCTTCTCTTCATTCTTCATCCTTTTTTTTTTATCCTTTGCACTCTCTTTTAATGAATTGGGCTCTACAGAAAGGTGTTGGAAGATGGCAAATTTGCTTTTCATTCACGATAATCATTTAACCGCTAGCACCGGCACCTTCAATCGGCTTAGCGACTTCCATCGGTTTGTCCGTAACACCACATACCACGATTATTTACTTCTTCTGTAATGACGATAGTAGTGGAACCGACACGCGTCACCCCCAATTATATCACATAAAGGAGATCATTGAGTGTTCTCACACCACTAGCTCAGGGTGAATATCCGCCCGGAGTGCCTTAGGGGCTAAATAGAGCGCCGACGCCCTAACCGCCGGCGCTAGATAATCTCCCGCCTCTAGTACCTCCAGGGCTAAGCTCCTCCGACTTGCGTCGGCCGATTCCAACTCTTTCCTACGGCCACTCACACTTTCCCCATGCAAAGCCGAAAACGTCGTGTCAGAATGTGTTATCCTTGCTATACGTGTAAACAGACAGCGAGTGCGATCGGGCTCCGATCGTGATAAAATGCTGATTTGGATTATTTGCAGTGCGACCGCCAATATCCATGCAACCACTGTACCCGCCGTCGCCGACCTGAAGAGTGTGTCTACGGTTCTCTGCCGGCGAATGGGTCCTCCTGTCCGTCAGTCCCTGCAAATCAGCTGGAGACCCAACCACCTCGACCGGTAGAGAGTGCACGGCCCATGCGAGAAACAGCCGTGGATGACTCCGAAGCTCACTGGTCCAGAGAGCATTCTGCCCTAGCTCGATCCTTTGGCTATTTTGAGGATAGCAACTCCAACACCATGGCTTTGCTCCGAAGGGTGAGTCTTTTACTATTGCTCTCCTTGTGGTATCATTTCGACTTATTTGGTCTCACAGCTGGAATTGCCTGATCAATTTGATACAAAGCTAAAGGATGCCTCGCCCTCCACTTGGGACACCATTCATTGTGAGCTTGATCTCATGCCTAAGCGCCAAATCCTCGACTTCCTTGTCCAATATTTCGTCCATGAGTTGAATTGGTAAGCCTATCTATCAGTTTTGCATGGCAAGATTGCTTAGCTCTCTTGTTCTAACCTCTATCATGGGCTCAGGATGAAGCAAGTTATTCACGCCCCCAGCCTCTTGGCAAATTACTAGCTGTGGTGGGCAAAGGATAAAATATCAGAGGTTGCCGACGTCGAGTTTGCAGCTCTAATTACTCGCATTTGTTCTTACGCGACAAAATTTCTGCCGCATTGTAGAGTAGTTGAGGCAATGAGCCCGATTCCTGGGCGCACTGGGTATCGTGATGGTTGTTATGGCGGAGATGGCAAGCATTTCCTTGCATGTAAGTGCTAAGGACAGCTGGTCGACTGAGTAGGCATACGCGGTGATTTGGAGTAGGTGCTCATTCGGCAGAGCCACAAGTCCTGATGACTGGGCAACTAGCGGCGGTTCAAAGAGCTGCAGCTCTAGTCAGCAGTATAAGATCAAGCAGAGCAAACAGGTCTAACCTACATTTTGTGGGATTTTAAATGCATCCCATTCGGTAGCGGCATGATCTCTTGGGCAGTCCTCGAGGTGATACAGCCATTGTGCGTACATAATAAATAGAGACCAGCGTGTCTATAGAGCGAATGCCTTGCGGAATAACAAACCACACTGGCACTAGGGGTCCGAGACCGTGCGCGCGTCGCGTCTCTCGAGCGCGCTTGCCCTCGAGACGTACGTTTATCACACTAACATGAGTAGTATTAATATGTATTTAAATTGTCTACCATACGAGATATGTGGAAAGCTGTTTATATCTGGAACCGTGAAACACCGATTTTCACTTGTTTCCGAATGTGCCTCTAAAGGGGCTGAATAAGTGTTCTTGGATCCCATATCAACAGCCTATTTATTTTTTTGTTGTAGTTCAGACGAATTTTTTATTAATTGACCTAGTTCAGAGGGAGTACGCGAGGCTATATTTACAGCATGAGCTCCAATTTAATTTCAAATCAACTTACTTCTTCGTATAAACACCTCGGGAATCGATTCCGATGGTGCGGCTTTATCCCTGATCTGCACCAGCCTGATATCATAACAATTTTCAAGTAAACGATTATTTACACTCGTTTATTCCACTGGCCCGACCTGATAGTTAACTATGATTATACTAGAAAGTGTGTTGCTCTTACGAATCAAACCACGTATCTCAAGCTCCGATCTATTCCAGGTCTATGCGTGACTTAGTGAATGACTTTGTGAAAATCGAACTGCTTCTCTACTGATTTCTGTACAACCAACTTACTTGAATCACTTACTATGGTTGATCGGGGAACTAGTAGTATATTCCGCGGGATTAGTATAGTAGAAATTCAGCGGCTCCGCCCTATTAGACGGTATGTTCTAAATACATTCCACAGTTAGTTCGTCTTTATCGACACCCTAAGTTCATTTATTATATAGTCCCATATTTCTTATGAATAAGATAAAAGCCAAAACTGCAGCTGATAGATAAGACACCGAGCATCTGCAGTTCTCTTCACGTTTTGTACGTGTTTCAATAAACAGACATGGTAGATTTTGTGAATTATAAGCAAGAAAAGATCGACTGTCTTGAAAAATCGCAACGAAATGACCGCTCAGTTTAATAGCCTCAATTTTCCATCTTTCTTATATATATATGACCTGGTAGATAGTGTGTTTATGAAGCCGCAAAAAAAAAATAGACTTAAGGTAAATCTAACGGCCTGCGTAGCCGGCCTCAAAGTTTATGACAATTAAACAATAGCACACAGGGAATTGACTAATCTTTCAGGTGGAACATTTCAATATGGCTGGAAAGCGGAAAGTAAGATTTGCGGACAGAAAATGCTAGGGGCAGGTAATTAAATTAGTTAGTTTATTAACCAGATTGCATGGGCGAGAGAGGGAAGGGGTGATTCGACGGGGTAGTTAACCTGGTCAACTAATTTCTATGCAAACAATTATTTTTTACAGTTGTTCAACCGGCCTAGCCTCACAATTTGGTTTATTTAGTCATATTGAGATCTTAGGGAATTGTAATGGTGTGCAAAACGAGTAACTTCAAACCTCGGCTGAGCAGATTGTTCATTTCATCGGATCTACACTCCACTCTCCCTACCATCACTTAATTACCTGTTTATTACTATAGTTCTCTAGTTGCTCCATACAATAAACCTTCAATTAACGTAACCAGCCATCCGAATTTCTTACCAAAAATTAATTTTCTAACTTGCCAGCCACTTTATTAGCCAGAGCAGTAGCTAGCCCTACTTTTGTGTTTTTATTCCTTGGATTTTATCTCTCTATCTATTTTGTTAATTTGAATCGTGTTACCCAGGCAGCTTCGGCACTCTGCTCGTACGGTAAACCCCTCCCTTTAGCATTTTCAATAATGAAAATGTTTCCTAAGATAGTAAGATCCCAGGAACAAAGGTGACTTGTGCAACACAGTCCAGTCTCATTTTAAGGGTGGTCAATTGATCAATTGACCCACTTATTTAGCAAGGAAATTTTTTCTAGGTGAACATTCAACATTTATTTATGAAGGGAAGTAGACAACGGATAAAAAATCGCACACTTTTATAGACTCCTAATATATACCAGAACCACTAGAAGCGATATCTTCAATGATCTATTCGCTTCAATAAGAAATGGCCATCAATAAAGAGTTTGCAGGGCAGACGGTTTTCGCTAGAGCCCAGCCATTAAACAAAGACTGTTGTGATGTTTGAGCTAATGTGGAAGGTCATGGAAATGCACGAATTTTCAATCATTAGTTCCTCTCCATTCTCAGTCTCCAATGATTGTGCAGCGGCTTACACGCGTATTTTTTCAATAGTCTATTCGTACAACTCGTCGGGGTCGGATTGTAATGATATGCAATTCACATATACAATATTGAGATTAAAATGAAGTAGAATCTGATTATAATACTATACAGATGCGCTCGAAATCACACTTGAATTAAAACTCAACCGCTCCTTTTCTCCCCTAAGACGTGGAAAGCGGTCATACCTCATGAAATGGTTTGATCGAATCAGAAGGGGCCAGCTTGGTGAGTGGTTACATCTAGAATGGAGACCATTTTGAATTCCACCCAGCACTTTGATGGCCACAAGTATAAATGACCGACTTTTTCTCTAGATTGTTCTTGCGTCGATCTCTTTCCTAGCGAAGTGACTCCTTCTCCACCTTCAAATGCTTTGATCGTACATAGGAGGTTTTGGCCATTGTAAAGATAGGAATGAAAGACTCGAGTGGTAGGAACCGCAAATAGGCTCGGTGCTATATATTTATAGACAGTGAATAAGGGGCAGTTCAGAACGGGAAAAGGAGGAAATGCGCCTTTTGATTTTCAAAGGACCACGATTTTGGCTTCGCAAGCGTCTAGGGGACGAAACACCCTTCCCCTTGTTGTAGATCAAAGGAAGCTTGAATTGTTGTTTTGTGAGAATACAAGAGGCTATATATATGACATGAAGTCCAAGTTGATTGGAAGGTCCTCGTATAGATGGACAGGAATTATTTCCGGTGTTGCGGCTTCGTTCCTGAGAGGCAACTACCTCATATCACAACACCCTTCTATAGTTAAGGGGGTTACGATAATATCCTAGCTATGTCTCTGAAAATAAGCCAGAAGGGAGCCGAAAGTGCGAATAGGGTGCAAAGTAATAGAATTCCTAGCTCGACAGGAAACTGTGTCGCAGCTGTCGCAGGCAGAATGTTGTTTTTTTAATTTCAGGACCCATTTGCCCCCCAAATGGGATGAGCCGGAGCTATCTAGGATATCAATAACTAGTTAGTTAGCACGTGGGTGATTCTTATTAATAGGCGCGGCAGGCTAACTAACACCCAAAGATAACTTGCAAATGTTCAAAGGGCATTTGCGAAAAAGCGTAATATTGTGGTAGGTGACTATGTTTCCTCCCCACTAGTCTTCTCATGATCACAGTAGATCAACAACTATGCCTGGTGCGTGGGTCAGCACCTAAACAGCACCGCGGCCACGAAACGGGCGTGGTTGGTGTTTTGCGGGTGTTAATAAAGTTAAACTGCTCCCATCAGCGGCATCGCTTAAAATCTGCGACAATGTTTCTTACCAGCAGCGTCTTTTGGGTGGCTATAGCTATACGCTCCGGTGCTGTACTGATTCGAATCACATGTGAAAAATCAATTGAGTTCGAAAGATCTTAGGCCCTTTGGCAGACAGCCATGCAAATACTATGTAGGTCGCTACTCGAAAAGTGGTGTCATATCTCCAAGGTTTAGTTTTGGCCGGAGCATCTTCGTCAAACTCAGAGTTCTGTCATAACGGCTGCAGGCTTTTGCGCCCAAACTCTTCGTCTATACAGTAGCATCAGTCAATAAGAAGGGCGTCATCCAGAATCGAACACGGGACAGAATAACCAACTAGGAACTTACACCCTGTGCCAAACATGGCGATAAGGGTTTTGGAGCTCCTCACGTAGCTGAGCTACATACACATGGACTTCCTCTTTGGTCCACGGCTGCGGCTTGCCAAACTTTGTGAGAAGCCACATACACCATCCCTCAATACCGGATATCCAGTGTTGGAAATTGAGGGTGCCAAACTCCTTTAACTGTCCGTCTCTGGGCCATGGGCCGATCGGCCACTTATAAGTCTTCTCATGCACATTGACAAATCGAGCCTTTCGGATGCTGCTAGAGATGGTATCGATGTTATCGCACGGCCGGCCGGCGTGCGCTCCGCACCAAATTATGTTTGGACCGAAGTGGGACAAGACACTATCGGGCGGAAGACTGTCGTCATCAGTCTGGACGATAAAGCTCATTTCCACTTGTTCGATCCAGCCGTCAGTTCTCAGGTTTCTATCGAAGTCAGTACGTTCAATAGAACACGAAGGCGGATATCGCTCCATTATCAAGATACTCACCCGTAACACCTTTCGTAGACCAAATCCCACTCCGGAGGACTAAAAGATCCTGTCATATGGCGCATATGGATCAAATCAAATTTCTTACTCCATGTCCATTTCTGAAGCACATCATCAACCTCTAGGATACAGTTTGGCGGTACCCAGTTGACAGGAGGTGGGAAAAGATCGACTCCTCGAACAGTGGCTGCGGCGCGTTAGTCGTAAGGTTACAAAAGAACGAAGAAGAGAGCTTACCAAATGGGAATTTATCAGCGACGTCTCTGAATCTAGTCAGCGAGATTATTTAGGTCTTACGGTAGAAATTTGGATCGTACTGACATGGCCCAGGTGCCATTACCGGTTCCGATGTCCAGGATATGCTATGTGCGTTTGGTCAGAGAGGCTGCATATGGTATATTCCATGCTCAATAGACATGTACGGGGTATCGTACCATCGGCGAGCCGCGGACTGGCGAAAAAAACAGCGGATTCGCCTCATCTGAGTGCGTAGCAAGAGCAACTTGGTGCCTAGAAGCAGTTGTCAGTGAGGAGTGTGGCTCAGGCTAGCTGCCCAGACATACCCAGCTTCGTAACTTTCAAACTGTTGATCATCGGATGGGATACTACCTCAATAAAATAAGGTTAAGGTTTTGATCAATCATCATATACAACTCTCTGACTTACAAGTACTCCTCTGCCCGAAGTGTTTGGTACCTGAACAGTAATGTCAGCTTCGAAGGTGAACTGTAGTGTCGATGCCCATCTTACCGCCTGCCATTTTCCATTAGCCCCCTATAAATCGAAGATTCGATCGAATTTGTCTGCCTGGGCAATGTTGAATTTCAGATCATTTCGACAAGGGTCATGCTGTCAAGTGACTTACGACTCCCAATCTTCGGGGCCATATGTGCTATCGGCGAGGTACAGATCCGGATCCTAACAATAGTAGGTCAGAAGACAGATGAAGGACTTCAAGAGTTTGACTTATCCCTGACACACAATAACGATAGTCTGGTTGGCCATGTTCAAAGGCACGCTGGCAGCTGACAGTGGGAAGCTTCCAGGGGGCTTGGATGAGATATAAAGGAAGCCCCGCCACAAACTTTGCTTAGTCGATCTGGAGAAGCAATATGGAGTGATCGTCGCATGGGTCATGCATTCCGCCCTTGTGGATGGAGTCCTCGTCATTACCATTGGCTAATTGGCTAATAATAAACCATATGGTAATAATAATGTACAATAGCGAGGGCTCTATTGGGTAACCAGATCATTTGTGGATCGAAGTGAATATGACCTATCCATCGATCTGCCCAGCCTGTGGTCCAGCGACATCAATGTTCTCCAGGACATGGCCAACGCACAAACCCCGACCGATCGACGCATACGCGCAGATAACCTGAGGAAGGTTCCACCCCAATACGATGTTGCTGGTGTTTGTAAGTGGATCTACAAGTCGCATCTATAATATTGAACTAACTATTCAACTTAAACTAGGGGCTTGTGAGAGGCAAATTAATCCGGCTAGTAGAGCAGAAGCTGGCCAAGGCTCTGCTTTTGCTAGTAGGCTGCCTCGGCCAGGTTTTCGTGAACGCGGCCGATCCAGTTCTCCTAACGTCACCTCCCAGCCTACGCGATAGCGCGACCCATGGTCAGCTTCCGTTCGGGACGAGGCTAAGAAAGAGAAGAAAATGGTGGATGTCAGTTTACCAGTAATAACAAAGAGGAATAGTGCTAATACGGCTTCCAGCTCCCATCCGAGAGTGATATTCGTGATGGTTATCAGTGCGTGGTGACAAAGCGCGGACTGCCGTTGATTGAGAGTGTCCACATCTTGCCGAAGAAGCTCAATGGTATGCAGAACGAATACCTCGAGCAATCCGATTGCTGGTCCTGGCTTACCGGCTTCTGGGGTCAAGAAAAAGTCAGTCAGTTGCAAAGCCTGCTGTTGTCCCAGGACACAATAGGCACGGAGAGACTCTATAACCGGATCACTCTGGAAGTCCATATGCACAGATACTGGGATCGTACAGATTTCACTGCGCTCTATCTGGGTCAGTAAGGACCGAACCGAGATGCAAATAGCGTTTCATTGGCTGCCTCTCAAAGAGAACACGCCAGGGGCGGCAAATCATATTCGGTCCGAGTTGGTCCCAACCACGGAGAACCAATACCAGGACCCGAAGTACCGACCTCGTGAGACTCCTGGGGGAAGTAACGTCGTTTTCCATACACAGACGGGAGTTAGAATCTCCTCGGGATATGTTTTCACGGTCAAGACCGACAACAAGGACGAATGGCCACTACACTCTATGGAACTGTTGGAACTGAGGTGGTACCTGTCTCGCATCGCTAATATGCAGGGCAAAGCTGAGTACGAAGATAGTGATTATGAGTCTGATAGCGACTCCGTTTTTGTCTGTTCAGGCACTCCGATCCCCCATTGAGAGCTACGTTACGCGAGAACATGCCTTTCCGTCCACCCGCCAGTGATGCGATAGTTGAAAGAAGAGATAGAAAGTACTTCATGGTGTCTTTCGATTTTTCGTTGTGTCTTGTGAAGTCCCGGAGGCGAATGGCAATGTTCGTACTGCCGGGTGTTTGGATCAGGGTGATTCTTCATGCCTTTATATCTTTTTTTTTTGTATTGAACAATCTGCAACATGATTGCCCAGCTTCGCACAGACATAATGTTCTCCACATGGTGTTGTTTGTGACAGGAGATTTAGGACTGGAATAATTTCCGAGCCGGCCATGTTGGATAGAGAAGATTCGAGGGGATACGATGTCGATGCATCCTCATCAAACTCGGCTTCAGCCGAGTACTTAGACCTGAATACTGTGATCTTGTTCTGCGACTCTGCGTCACACGGCACTGTGGCAAGTAACCGAGGTACCCATACAAGGGTGTGCCACGCGCAAGCGAAAAAGATCGACACGGCCTGTTTCCAAGTCCTGATCAAGGTTTCGTCAGATCAGCTCCGTCTCCTAATTTTCCTGATCGAGTATCCTTCAGGCCACCTCCGCCTCCGTGTGTTGCGCTAAAATACCCAGCTCGGTTAGAGCGTGCCAACCAGTCCCCAGATTTTCTACACGTTAAATGCGGAGAAATCTTTAGGTCAATAGGTACGTCTACTTGAGCGTGACGACCTTCCTTAAGTGGAGCCAAGGGCTTCTCATTATTTTAGCGTCAAATCCCATGCATATCATTTCCCCATGGGTATTTGCTGCTCCTTCTCCATCCCTAAAGTCGATTGTACCTACTCTCTGAAGAGCCTCACGCTAGGAAACCCTCTAACAGGACACCCATTAGTAGAAGGTTTTGGTTGGAGAAATATCAAAATCTATCTCAGAGAGACGCTGGGTACGTACCTAAGCCTTGAGAGGATAGGGTGTACATGGCATATAATGACGGCCGCAAGCAAATATCCTCAACTCCCAAACGACGATAAGGCGCCGAACAAATATTCCCCAGGCAAGGCTTAGCTTTCATGGGCATGTCGGCAAATTTGACTATTCAGACCGGAACGCCATGGGCGGAGAAAGAATCATCTTCGAATGCGAACACCTCCCGTCACGTCACGGCCGATCATCCGAACAATCCCAAATCCTCGAAGTCGTAATCATGTTAGTCCGTAGGATTGCCTATTTGAGGTAAAAGTGGGCGGATGTGCGCCAAATGTCAGACAACAGATGACCCTGAAACGCGAAAACGAGAAGAGAACCTTGGAATGCTTCTAGTCCCTGTAGATTACTATACGTGGCCCACTTGGGGTGAAATAAAGAGCGTTGTCAAGCTATGATACTCGGCTCTAGATAACGATCTAGTGCCGAGGCAACTTCTTAGCCACAAGCTTGAGACGGTTCCAGATGGTGTAGCCATAGCTGTATAGATTGCACTAGAACAACCGACTAGTGGTTTAGAACTAGTTGGAACATGCATCATTAACGCATCAAAAGTTTAATTTTCTGCATTTGGCAATCTTTTACTGCTAAAGGAAAATTGACAAGCAGGAAAAAGTCCTAGTAAATTCATTCACAGATGTCCTCCTGATCTCACACTTCGATATTCTCCTTCGTACACCTTCCCCAAGGGAGATAATCACAACCTTCTGTCTCCACGAGCCCAGATTCCGTCCCCTAAAACAGACAACCCACAACTAGCTGCATTCTCAACCACTCTCTAGATAGCAGTAACATCCACCCAAAACCTGGTATCATCAGATTTGTAAACGGAGTTACTGTCAATCTGCTGCTGGATCCAGTACACAGCACTCTTGTACTCTATACATAACGCGTTAGACCTCCTGCATGGCAATATCAATCGCCGGGTATGGGAGAAAGGCATACTATTGATATCCTCCGTGTTAGGATTTTCCAGCCCGCTTGAGCCAAAACGGTGCCCCGCGAACCAAAGGTCCGTCCCATAATAATTCTGGCAGTCCCATCGAGAGGCAACATCCGCGTATATGTTGGTACTAGGCCCGTTAGTTGATCCATCTTATTGATGCAGAAGAAAGAAAATTATACTTGAGTAGAGCTCCGTTATTCCATGAGCTCCGCGGTTGGCCTGCCAGTCCGTATCTGGTTGCGCATACTCGAAGCATTCCCCAGTTCTGCTTGAAAAGACCGAAATTAGCTGCATCTTCGGTCTTTGTATCGCCGTAGACATAATCGGTCGTCAGAGTTTTGCTGTGTCCGTTAGCAGTGTGTATGTAAAGTACAAGCCCCATAGACGAATCACTGCTCACGTTTCCAGCATGGCGATAGCAATGTCCAGAGTATTGCCGCCTGCATTTAGAATGGCCTGCTTGCGCGAGCCAATACCGGGGACATTCTCGGACCCGCGGTCTGCTCTCTTGTCGAGGGGGCTTGCAAGAGCCCCCAAGACAGACAGAGAAGCGAGGATAAATATGGTGGCTTTCATCGTCCGAGTTGATCCTGAAATAATGTAGTAAGGGCAATTTAAGGAGGTTTTTGTTCAGTTTGGTTGTATAAACGATTGTCGATTCATTCGCCGTGGGCATGATGCCTTTTATAACCCACTGCAAGGCAAGACTTGACATTTGGAGGCACCAGTAATGCCCGTGTCATATCCATCATCTCCTTTCCTTTTCTGGACTCCGGAATCCGGAGCCAGTCGCTTACTTCTGTCCAGGTTTCAAAGTGTCAGCCACAATGTTCCCTTGAGTTAATTAATTGATGAGCTTATAGTCAGAGCAATAGATGAGGTCAGGTTGGCATATGCAAATACCAAATAAGTTTAAGAAGCGGGGAATACCTAACGTAGCCCAAGTCCCTTCATTCCGAACTATCTATGTTGGTGTATGACGAGCTTCTGTTGAAATGTTGGATGTTGAGGCTCAAGTGTCAAACGCTCACCACCATTGTTGCTCCCGACACAGTAAAGGTAGAAGATACAGCCTATGGCTCATCCTCTTATGACCTAGTTAGTGGGCGAAAACAAATTAAAAATTAAAAATTAAAATGAAGGTAGAGCAAATATATTATTTACATGTAGAATATGAGGACCTGTGAAAGTGATGCCGAAAAATAACCGCGTATATTCCACAGGTTTTACGCACCAGAGGGTTTAGTCTGCACGTCCGCTAGCTCGGTACTACTTTTGGTCGTATAGGATTGGTCGAGAGATCAGAGAGGTTTTACGCTCTAAGTTCAAGGGCCATTGTCTGTGGTTGTTTGACTCGGAGACCTGCGAGCACGGAATACAGTAGAATTTCAATAATACATCGTGCTACTGTTCCCTGAACTATTTCCAACATTTTCACAGCACATTGTGGGAGGGAGACTCCTGGAGAAGGGGACATCCACGTGGGGTGATCTATCCCGCTTCAATCTCATTCCACCACATTTTACCAACGGGGACCTTTGGAAAAGGGATTGAAAGCTCGGCATGTCTTTGTGCTTTCTTTGCTAGAACTGACCGGCACTCAACCATTTCACCCTGTCTCAAACAGTCTTGTGCATTACGATACATCTTTTTCAAGGTCAGGGAAGAGCCCTTAAGCCAGTCTGAGGACGGATCTTCGGGGACCGGAAATTTGTCCTTCGGAGAGCCATTCCAAGACCAAAAACGGCTTGATTATCGCGCTTATTCTGGCTAGAAAGTCGTTGTGAACGTGAAACTTCAACTTGACTAAAGCCTTACTTTCGTCTCGATCCTACATGACATGACTCAGAGCCTGATGAGTGGGGGACCCAGTGTGATCTCCAAGGCCTGATGGTGCGCAGCCGCCTTGAGATCTTGTGGGTACTCGGCGAGCCGGTGCAGTTGGCGACTCGTCTGGAGGTGGCGATGCCTAGTATGTGACGAGCTAGTTCTTCAACAACGAAAGAGTACTCAATTCAAAATACTAAAGATGGGGAGAGAAAGGAAGCAAGATCTAGAATCAGCCTGGGAGAGCTTTTATACCAACGGTCAATGCAAACAATGCAAATCACCGACTTTTCGCTAAACAAAGAAAACAATCTGCAGGTGATTCATGCATGTGATCCCAAATCGTGAGATAGTCCACTTCTGGAGATCCTTTATGTCGGGGGGCAAGGGAGGTTACGAGACGGCGTATTATGGCGCTAAACCCAAAAAGGCAAAACTAACTCTAATAGGCAATTCATAGGTCCGAATATTATAACAACAATGATCATCACCACACGGCAGGCTGTTTTTGAAGCTCATCTGGGACACTGAAATACCCTCTTCTGGCTAGGTTCCGTTGAAGTTCTCGGAATTTGCTAGTTTTAGCCTTCTTTTCAAACAGGATATCAATTTCCAAGTAACTCAACCCGAATGTCTCAGGGAGTCGCAGATAGCACCATATGAAACACACGGCGCTAAACCCCAAAAAGAAGAAGCACGACTTGCCCTTCCAATTCCAGGCTGTAGGATTCAGCATTCGTGGGGTAATAACGTTGGTAACGATCGAAGCCACATTATAAACGATACGGGCCAGGACCACAGTCTTGACTCGCAGCCGGGTGCAAGGGATCTCTGCAACGAGGACATAACATATAGGCCCAATGCTGAGGTCATATATGAATGTGAGGAGGGTAATCAGGCCTCCAAGAGCCCATGACTGAGCATCTGTTGTAGGTAGGAATGCAATGCCACCCGCAACCGCGAGAATAGCCATCGAGGCCGCGAGGCCAATGAGGTAGATCCTACGACGCCCGGCTCGCCTCATCCATAACCACGACAGGATCACGCCAACTATAGCTATGCCATACATACCGATGGCAAGCGTGAATGAATTTTGAACGCTGAGACCAGCTTGTTCATAGAAATATGCTGCGTAAGTCCCCGAGCTGGAGAACGAAGCTTGCTGGGTGACCCAAATCATGCAGGCAATCTCCGTCCGTCGGAGATTGATCCCTTTAAAGCAGTCCAAGTATGTCATTTGACCACTGCCCAGATATTTCTCTGTTTCATTGGTATGTATCATCATCGCGACTATCTCGTCAATGTTGCAACCGGCTTCGTGTGCCGTTGTAAGACGTAGCAATGTTTTTCTGGCTTCCTCGGGCCGCTCTTTGCGAATCAGCCATCCTAATTGTAGTGTAAGATTCCATAACTGAGAAATCCATTCAGGAGAGGTCATACCTGGGGACTCGGGTGCGAAATACACTCCGATCATAATCGGAACGGCCAAGGCCCACTGCAAGGCAAGTGGCAAGCGGTACGCCCACTCCGATTGATTGCCTGTTTGGCTGCGAATTACTCCAACGGCACAGAGTTGCCCAATCAGCCAACACATGTTTACACTGCTCAGAATATATGCCCGAAGTGCAACTGGCATAATCTCTGCCGCATACGTTGTGGCCAAGGTCTGAAAGATTCCCCACGGAATTCCGCATAGAACCTGGCCAGCTAAGAACATCTGAACGTTCACGGCAAAGAAAGGCAAAAATATAAAGAAACACAAAGAGAGCAACGCCACCAGTATCGTCCAGCGATAGCCAAACCGGTCCGCAAGGAAGCCGTTCATAAACAACCCGATAATTTGGCCTACCACGGCTGCAGAGGTCAGGCCCGATTGCCATTGAGACGGAATTTCAAAGTTTCCGGGATGAGATGGATCCGGGGCTCCATATTTCTGTTTGAAGCCCGGGAATGTAAAGAAACTGACGAGAAGCGTCGTGTCGTAGCCTTCCATAATGATTGTCGACGACACGACGACTGACCATGCGATGGCCTTTGGGTAAAGTTTACAGCATGTGAGGAGCGACATCTTTCGCTCCGCCCTAGTAGCTGCTCTGGCGCCCGATGACAGCTGTTGCAGGCTCGGGATGCTGGCTGACAGGTCGGAAAAAACGTCCTCCTCATGACTGGAACTTGGGCTCTGCTCTAGCGGAACCTCACACAAAGAGATTTCTGGGAGGCCATGGCGAGTTTTGGGTGCCATATGACGGCGCGGAAGGCGTTGTGAAAGGTTGAGATGGTCGGGGTGACCGGTCGTTCTTCAGGAAGGAAGTGCTACTATCATTGCCGAGAATTGGAGCAGAAGTTCTGGGTTAAAAAGCAAAAAAAGCAAGGGGGTTCAGGCAGTTGGGGGGAAAGAGTTCGGTTACGATTTTCCTTCAACGTTCAAGTTCTTGAAAAAGTAATTGATAGACTTCAACCCCACAAAAATGTGCTTGCCGAGCAACGTTCCGATGATGCTAACCATCCTGGGCAAGGAGTGGACGGACACCCGTTCTTTTCGCTTCGACACTCCCCGGAAATCTGGGGACCAACACGAGGGGGAACTCTTGCTCCTTTCAAGACTTTTCTTGTGATCACAAGCAAACCCCACTCCAGCGAGGCCTATCCCTGGTCGATGAACCCGATAAGGTGGAGAGAGAACCGGGGAAGACGAGATTCCCATTGATCATCTCGAACTATGGGGGTGGGTCAATGTCAACCTTGTCTCCGGGAGAGAGACCTTGACCGTGACAGATCCAATAGAACCGTGCGCTGCCCCTCGGAACTCCCCTGAGTATGAGGGAAGTCAAAGCGAGGAAGGATCGTCGAGTTGAAAGTGTTTCAAGGCAGTTCGCTCGAGGCTCTCGAGAAACGAAGCTGGGGGCGTGGCCGCTCGGGCCTATCCTTCTTTGCGCTTGCACCAACAGTCTCCAGGGCTGCTTGCGCCCCACAGATCTGGAAGGGATTGTCTGTCTATAAGAGACAACTCACCTAGTTAATGTTCTTCCCAAGACAACCACCTATACTCAGTCAATCAATGGTCTTGGCCTGCGGGCCTTTACATGTAGTAAGTATTAGTTACTCTACAGGTGACTATGAGCCCGAGCACCCTTATAAAAGCGGCAGCTCAAATAGGAAAGCCCCAACCGCCATGGAAAATTAGGTAGTATAGGCACATATGTATGGAGTGCTACGGCTTGGATACCAGGACGCGAAAGTGCAACTGATTTATGTTTGAAATGCAAGAAATAACATTAAATACACCTATCCCACCATAGACATGCTCCAGTCCATTCTAACCAAAATACAATGTTCATATCAACGAGTCAGGGTATGGAAACTCCAAATCACAATACAAGGTTAAAGAAGACATCATTGCGAAGAGAAAGAGACAAAAGCAAGCAAAGCCAACCGAAGAGAGGCGCGATGGGAGGGAGAAAAAAAAGCGCGGGTCTGGTTGTTTGTTCTGCCATGAGTATATCTGTACAGCTGTGAGGGGGGAAGACGGAGAGATGGCGATACAGGATGATAATGATGATGAGATATAGAGATAATAGTAATGAAATAAATGAATTCTCGCTGTGTCCGGGGAATCTAATAGAATGAAAGGGAGATGGTGCCTCGAGCACTGCATCTCTTGCTGCAAAGACCAACGTAGAGAAATGCGAAATCGATATGCAGTATGCAATCAGAGGGTCAGCAAGGCCGTCTCCCTCCGGCCGCTCCCAATAGAGCGAGAACCGGAACGTGTCGAAGCGGTGGCAACCCGGGCAAGATGTTAGTTGGAGCCAGCATTGAATTGCCGGACTCCTTGGGTGCTAAACTGGGAAGCATTGGTCTCCGGGCCGAGATTCCAAACGAAAGCGTGAGTTTGTGAGTGGAGACCTCGCCGGTCGGCATAATAGCCCCCGTGGCCATATTATGCGGGTATTATCAGCAGCGTCAGAGCCACGCACATGAGCGCCAAGTGGTTCTCACCCGCTAATGATCTGCCTGGCTCCCTCTTTGCCCAGAACGCCGGGCTCCGTCGGCTTGGGACTGCGATCGCGGCCCTTTTTCCGACTGAAGAACGATAGCATGCCATTGGCTTGCTTGTTCTTGTCATCACCACTGTCCATCCCATCGGCGGGGGTCGAGTTATGAGCCAGCTCACTCCAGCTGCCAGCTTCGTTTAGGACCATTTGTACGCCTCCGCTTTTGCTCATTTGCCGGGTAGCACCGCGGTGGCGATTGTTCTGGGGTAGGGGTCGATGGAAGGATGGAGCAGGCGGCGGTTGGAAGGACGGGGGAGGCGGGGGTGAAGATGACATGCGGCTTGAAGGGGAAGGAGGTTGGCCAGTGGCGGGTTCATTGGGGTCGAGTGTCTCGCTGACCGTAGTCATGTTTTCACTCCGTGGAGCACGGGAGTACGAGCCGTCGGCTTGGATGGGAGATGTATTTTTAGAGTCGGGCTGTGAGAATTGCCGGGCATGTGCGGCTGGGTTCGCTGGGGTTGTAGTGTTCCCTTGTGTTGTTGTCGCCAATGGAAGGCACTCCTCGGGATTTCTGGAAGAACACTGTTAGCACAAATGGGCGATGGTCTGGGGAGATAAACCCACGTTACGGCAGCGATAGCTTCCGCGGCATTGCCTTGGTAACTAGTCAGCGTGTAGTCGAACGGTTCGAACATTGTTTCAATGAGACGATGAAGCTCATCGTCACGAATTTCTTTCGCCGTGGCATCGTCCCTGAGTTCAGCGCGCGGTTTTTGCCTGCGCGCTCTGGCCTCCAAGGGCGCTTCTTCAAGAAGCAGCTCCTCCAGATCATAAGTCGCATCAAAGTTGGTTTTGTCGCTTGATGGGCGGAATACTGGCGGGATCTGTTTGCGCTCCAGGGCATCGAAGTCGATTTCGGCGAAGAACATGTGCGAAGTGAAAGTCTCAAACCCGATAGCGCCGATTCGCTGACTTCGATCTTTTTGCATCAATGATCCCAACGCCCGCAAACAAGCTACTGACACTGCAGGATTGGTGACGTAGTATTTCGGCTGCGCCTTTTTGATGTTTTCACTCAGGGTCTCTTGGCTTCTGCCTTCAAATGGTCGCTACACAGAAGGTTAGACGGGAAACAAGACGGGAAACAAATACGTCATACCTTATTGTAGATGCACTCGTAAAAGGTGACACCTAATGACCACCAATCGACCTCAAAGGTGTAACCACTTCCTTCATAGACTTCTGGGGCTAGGTAGGCTAGTGTTCCTGACTTGCTTGTAAGAGGTTTTCCCGGTCGGTAATCGGATGCCACGTTCTGGAAATTCAAGTTAATTGAAGCTCACGTAGATGCGATCCATGCCGATAGAACTTACAAAATCAGCCAAGTGAACGTGTCCATCGGAATCTAACAGGACGTTGTCTGGCTTTAAATCGCGATGAATGATACCCTGCGAATGGATATACTTCAGAGCACACCCCAGTTCCGCCATCCAAAACCGCACCGCATCCTCTGTGAAGCATTTTCGAGAGATATGGAATCGAAGATCGCCGCCGTTCATTAAATCAACCACAATATAGCTTCAACTCGGTCAGCGAGGAGTGATGAAGGTCAATTCGGGGATACTCACATGTACTCCATATCCTGGAAACTGTATCGCAAATTGCAAAGGAACGGATGGTTCAAGTGTTCGAGCATTCTCCGTTCACGAATTATATTCCGTACACTTTCCGAACGGACCACTGGAACGAGTGTCAGCTATAGCTCTCTCAGCTCAGCGGCTTTGGAGCTCCAACACACCTTCCTCTTTACGGATGTATTTCAGGGCGAATGTAAGGCCTGTATCCTTCCTTTCAACGATCCGTACTTTCCCAAATGCGCCCTTTCCAACGACACGAAGGAGTCGGAAATGATTGAGATTGACTAATAGAGAAGAAGCGATCAGCATATCATTCGAAATAATTCTCGGCAACTTAGGAAGTCCCGAAGTCGGCCTCCCCGATTCGAGTCAGTAAACCTACCTGCATCATTGCAAGACACCGGTTTCCCCTGAGTATTTCCCATGTTGCGAGGATAGACCGATGGCCGAAGTAATTCAAGTTGACTAGTACCTTGCTAGCAACATCACACTTGCCAAAAATTCCTCCGGTTGAATGGTGATCGCGTCAACAGCGGCGGTAGTCAGGCAAACCACGAGTGGATAGAGGAGACAGATCTTCGGCGAATATCGAGCTTAAATCGCAATTTCCATGAGAGATGACTGATTCCGAAGGTAGAATGGCCGAGCGGGGGGGGTCGAATGTTTCAGAGTCGGCGAAGAATATCGACGCACGCCCGGATGTAAATTTTTGAGATCTAGACAAGACTAGATGAAAGAAGAAAGCCACCCAAACTCTTCAACAGAAATAAAGCAGATCCTGGGTTCCAAGCCTGCAGGATATGTATATCAAGAAAATGTGAGGGCCCGGGAGCTTAGTCGCGAAACACACCGATATCGGGTTTGATAAAAGAACCACGGAAAAAGGAAAGGAGACAGGCAGAAAATAGAAGAGATAAATATGTCAAATGAGACCAATACCAAGAATTTCCCACTTGCTGAGGTGAAGCAGAGATGAAAGAAAGGGGATGAAGTGGGTGAGCGGTCTGGGAGAAGTGGCAGTAAGGGCCAATCACGCGTGACGCGCAAGAAAATGGGGGAAAGGGGGATAAATGAAAGAAAGAAAAGACCTTTTACAACATAGTTCCGCTATGCTTATTCTGGTCTCGAACGCCGTGCGATCTACACTGTCCTACTACTCTTCAAGACTAGTTGTTTTGCCGGAAGATACTGACATTGCCGATTGTCTCTGTCTCTGTGGATCTAGACTGATAACGTGCTATGGAAATATTGAATTCCATATACAACATATCCCCCACCCTCTCTGAAGTCCTGTTGTACGGAATGTGGTTAGGTGGAGAGCATATACGTAGCCCTGGTCCAGTTCGACCGCGCTTAGATTGATGAGTGGAGGCTATGATATCCACAAAATGCACAGACTTTATTAATTCGCCAGTGACTTGTCCATTATGATCCTAGACGAACATCCTGGCGATCAACATTCAACCTGAAACAGGGTTCTTTGGTGTTCTGAGGAGAGAAATGGTAATTCTACGAGGTTGAGGGCTATATTGCACAGTACGATGTCGATCACTATTTAGGCATTTAGTGTGTGCCCTACGCCCTACAACCCGATTTTTGTGAGACTCTGTGCCATGTAAATTTGATCTTACCTTCCAGGTTCTCTGTCCCATTCCCATTGGAATATCAATTTGGAATATCCCAAGTAACAACATATAGTTTGATGGATCGAACCAAGAAATAGTGTATAAGCATGCTGCAATCGACTGGTCACAGATTGCCGCACGTGTGAGACGCCTATTTCTCCCGAATTCTCGTGGCCGCCACGTTATTATGGACCGCCCTGGGCCGTAATGCATAGTTGTCTCGGGAAATCTCGTATAGAAGGGCCCTGGAATGCCTGTAGAATATTCGATGTTCGATTGGATCCGTCACATGCAAGGAGCTTTGTCTGCGACGATTAGATCAATTCTACGGAGTAGGTCTTTTTGCATTCGCTCCACTATGGCACAAATATGCTGAACACATATGAAATATGTTTGTCTAACACCTTAACTCTATTGAGTGTCATTGGTTTCACCAAACTTGACATGTGGTCGCAGTCAGCTGGTGCAGGCTTCTAAACTCCTTTCAAATGGGAGCCCAGTAACTGGCAACATTAGAGGGTCCCTACGGTAAGCTTATGAAATGGAAATAGGTGAGGTTTCAGCCTGCTGTTTTGACTTTCAAGAAACATTTGTACTATACTATTTGTATGACCTGTCTTTTGACGAATTTGTGATTGATAGAGATTATGTGTCAAATTTTCATGACACGGTCCCTACGTGGCCTCTTTGTGTTGGCAAGTCTAAGCACAGACACAAGAAAAAGATTTTGAACTAGGTTCTCTCCCATATATACATTCTAATCATAATTGATATGGTTAGCCGATGTCGACAAATGGGTTATTCATACAAAATGATACCTACCCAAACTGCGGCACTGAGAAAGTACAAGTGTACCCGAATATGTCTTTATGATTTTCTACGTTGTAGTTTGCAGGATACCTTGTCAGGTAAATAAATGTTTCACAGGTATTCAGTTTTGTTTGCTAAAATGTATTTCATCTTTCTCTTCAGTCTTAAACTATACCAACTTGGATGCGCTTCATTTACACGCAAGCGACTGGCATTTCAGACTGGCTGAAATGGTATCTTTGCCATTTTGCGCCTAGACGAACTGCTCTTAATCCTTTTTGCTTTGCTTTTATTTATCCTAATATAAGCTTTCATCAATGTAAGTATAATGGAGGAATATTGCAGACCTCTGAGGATGTAGTTAGAGATATGGTAGCTCGGTGACGGGGCAGGGTAGCTCCTTCCCAGGTCTGGCATCCTCGATGTCGCTGCCACTTCTTGTTTGACCTGGCCATCTCTTCATCCTTGTCACTCTCCCCCAATTAATCATTCACCATGGAGAGCTCTGAAACAGCCCGGCCGCTGCTGCAGCGCCCAGATAGTTCTGGCATTGATGTTTTAGATTTCTCTTTTAGCAAGCCCGCCTCACACAAGCCCTCGTACTCGCGAAACCTGACCAAGCAACCTACCATCCCCCATCCTGCAATTGAGAATGCCCAATCTTCAAGAGAACCAATGGGAGAGGGGGCAGGTCGCAACCATCAAGTGATCAGGTCAGACACGTATGTAGATGACCCAGGCTGGTATCACAGATGAACACTGCTATTCACAATGGACTGACATTTTCCCTTGGGTTCAGCCCTCTCAATCCTCGCAGCCTTGGGAAAGAAGGAATTCCCAAGGAACCAATCCCCGCGAGACAACATTTGCTTTCTCAGCCACCAAGGCGACTATCCGCAGCAGCTGAACCAAATAAAGACAGCGGCAATCGGCCGACGACTGGAGATCTAGGGCAACAGAGTTTCGGACAAGAACAGGCGGTGATTGCCTCACTGCCGAACGAGCCCACCGGGGCTGATGGCCCCAGAGAGACTATCAGCCCTACAGGAAGGGCCGTTGACCCGAGTCAAGAGCGTGTTATTGACATTGAAAAGACGGATGAGGTTAACTCTGCCTTACCCGAGTCAACTCAGGTGCAACATCATCACAGTGAGAGGCAAGAGATTCTGGAGAACCCATGCTCTCGTGTGCCTCTCAAGCCTGTACACAATCAGCTTCAAGCGTCGAAGCGACGCCGTGCCTCTGAGAAGGACGCATCTTCGAAGCAGCAGGCACCTCTCGCTGGTGGCAAGGACGGCGTTCAGCTCAATGAGGATGATCTATTCGAGCTTCTCATCACAAAGATGAGACAGCGAGAGGAAAGTGAGCAAGCGGCCGCAGTTGTCCAACGGCAACTCACGAATGAGAACATAGCCTTGAAGGAAGAGAATCTTAATCTGCAAGACCGGCTCAAAAAATGCCAAGCACAGCTCGCCAAAACATCATCCGAGTCAAGATCTCAGCGCGCACAAATAGATAAGTGGAAGGCGAAACTTGGCACATTCAAAGGTGTCCTCAACGAGCTGGGTCGTGAGTATGGCGCAGTCCGGGAGCAAGCCAAAGAGTTGAAAGAAGCGAGTATGTCTCTTGATAAAGAGAAAAGCGAGATCCAGCACAGTTTGGACAATATCAAGTTGAGAGTTTCGAATAGTGCAGAAACAATTCGAGACCAGCGCGAGAGGCTTTCAATTTCCGATGGAATGGTTGCCAGCTTGAGAGAAGCCTTGGACGATTCAGAGAAAAGAGCCGACGTAATCAAGACCCAGCTATCCAACGAGAAAAAGCGCATCACGACTTTAGAAGCCTACATCCAAAATGAGTGTCAGAGCCAGTCACGATACTTAGCCCTTGTCAGAAACGACCAGCGCAAGATGGCTGAAAAACTTGACTCTGCCTGCGAGCTGTTCACCACATCTTTCTTCAAGTCCCAGGATAATATCCTGTCAAAACTGAGTCCGGCGCTTGAACATTGTCTCACTTCAGTTCAGGGGTTGGAAGAACAGTGCTCTGCCGAGACTATGAATGTCCAAGGCTTCACCAATAGCGTTCATGAGGCAACATCTCGGTAAGTTCTGTTGAAGTGCAACAAAGAACAGCACATGTTGTAGACTAACTATGACTCTAGTTTCAGCTCCTTGGCTGGGCAGGTTACAAGCGACGTCGACCGAAGCACAGAAATGAGCAAAAATGTGTTCCAAGCCCTCCAAGAAGCCCTTCAAGCGCTTGAAGGCAACCTCGGTCCGCATTCGTCAATTTTCAAGCAGCTTGCTAATAGTGAGAGTTGCTATGGGAATCTGCAACAGCAGCTTCAGATCGTTGAGCCAATGCTCGACACTCTCGGTGGTTCTATCAAGGCTGTGGGAATAACAGAGGCGGATCTTGTTCGGGGGTTAGAAACCTTCGGTCAGAAGCTCTCCGAAGCTCGAATCCCAGCAGGAAACCCTGTTCTAGAGCAGGAGGTTTCCAACAAATTCGCTGAAAATACGCAGTTACAACTTCAACTGCAAGAGGTCTCGATTGAGGTTGAGTCACTTCGAAAACAACTTGCCAACAAATCATCTGAGAACCAACATCTTCAGCATGCTTTGACTGAGACTGTTTCTAACGAACAAGCATCTAAGAGTCAAAATTCTCGGCTGGAAATTGAGAAGACAGCCTTGCGGGGTGAGCTTCAATTGCTCGAGCAAAGAGTCCGAGAAGAGTTGGGCGCCGCAAACATCAAATTGCAGGATCAGATGAAAGCTAAATTTGAAGAACAAGTCCAAGGTCTTGAGACAGAAAAGGCGAAGCTGGAAACAGACATCAACAACCTCCAGGAGCAGCTTGCAAATGTCCGAAGCTCTTTGGTAAGCTGGACCGTGCCTAATGAGACAGTGGTCCACTAACAGTGTGCAGACCGAAACCGAAAGGACAGCCGAGGACGAGCGACTGGAAAGAGCCTCTATGGTAAGCGATGCGGAGCATGATTTTGATCCTCTACTGATAAGCGCAGCTCAAGGAATCACAGAAACTAATCGAGGAGCTGGATATGGCTTGCTCAAGATACAACACAGAGGCCAAAGCTTTTGAGGCTGAATCAAACTTATTGAAAAGCTCTGAAGCTGGTCTCTTGGCGGAAAAGGAGAGGCTCCTTGAACAGCTTGAACAAGCAAAAGGGAATGCCAGGGATCTTGAAGCCAACCTAGGGCTGAAGACCGAGTCTGTAGCGCTGAAAGAGAAAGCAATACAGGAAGCGAAAAAGAGGACCGCGGAGCTAGAGTTGGAGACAGCCCAGAAGACTGAAGAGCTTGCAGAAACGAAAGAAAACCTCGCCATGCTCAAATCACGCTCATCGGCTTTGGAGAAAGTAGGGGAGGAAGCTGATGCTGAAATAATTTCACTCCTCCGCCGGGCCCAAGAGGCTGAAAGCTGGCAAGCGACCATAAGAGAAGGGTTTGCGAAGGTGATCGAGGTGTACCCTGACGAGCCTTTCGAGCAAACATGGCAGAAACTGGAAGACATCATTCAGTCCTCGCTTGCTCAGCCGTCCATGACTGGCGATACGTCTTGCACCAAGCCTCGCGGCACAGGGAATATGGAGGCGACTAAATGCAGCAATCTTTTGGAGCCAACAGAGGGAAAACATGGTAATCTCTTCGAGACCAATGAGTCAAACAAGGGGGCTCTCAAGACTGCGGGAAACATACAGACGGAGGGACCTCTAGCACCAAAGATTTGTAGCCCCCCGAAGGCTTTCAAACATGGTGATTGTGTTGACGCTCTACCGAGATTCACTGCTAGTCACGGTCATATCGTTCCGTTCTCAACTCTCCATGACAGACTTTCACGGGAAAATAGTCTGCCACTTTTCAATGATCCAGCTGAGCTCGAAATGCTCTTCATGTCAACTCCGGATCTCCCGTTGGCGCCAGATGATGCTTCCAAAAAAGCCCAAGGACACCAAAGGCCTCCAGTTGAGCCTCTGGAAATGAGTCGAGACCTCAATGAACCTAAGCCTGCTCTCAGGATGCAACGTGGCAGCGCCGATGACAGCAAAAGCGAAAGGCCGCAGACGGCTCTTGAAAGGATGGACAGTTCGTTTGTCGACAAATCCGCAGAGAATGAACAATTTGACACCAAGCGTAAAGTAGTCAGCTTCGAGGGAGCGCGTGTTATCACCCGAACAGAGCTTGGCAGAACTCGACGAGTGTCAGACGCAACCGACAACAGCTCTGGAAGAGAGTCCGAAAGTAAAGGAGTAAAGAGAACGCAACAACGGACTTACAGCCGTCTTCGCCAGTCTGTGGCACAGGAGGAAACTTCAATTGAGACGACTACAGACATGCAGCCTACCAACAAAGCTTTGCTGAGAAAGTCTCAGCATGGCAAAATGGACAAGACTGAGCACTCTTCAAACCCGAACCCAAGGCCACTGAAGAGACCACGAAACACAGCCGATGGCCCGGAGCGACGACTGAGTCCGAAGGGTTTGGCTTCAGGTAGCAGCAGGGGAAACACAGCCGGCCAAGCTAGCACTATGCGAGGCCGAGGTAGGCGCCGCACTCGAGGTAAGATGTCTGATGCTTTCTTAACGTAGCCCTAGCTAAAGGTTAGAAGGAGACCGCTACAATCGGCGCTTCAGCCAAGACGCCGGCTGAGCAGTTCGACGCGAGACGACCCCGAGAAATATGCCATTCCTCCATTATTATACTCAGACCATGTTGAGCAAATTTTCCATATTGACTGCATCAAAAGCAAGGTGGGTGCGACAAGCCCACGGATATTCAAATATTGATTTAGAAAAATCTGTTGTTGTCGTGGACGGATGGATGAACGAACAGAGCCCTCGAGCAGGGGTCATGCTTCGGAAGGCGACGAAGTGGAATGTTGTGGGATATTTATTTTAGTTTTATTGAGGTACCAAAGCTGTATTTCTCTTAACGCCAAAACAATGCTCCAACAAAAGGAGGTTTACCGCAGAAGATCCGAGAAACCGGGGAAATCACAATTTCCCGCTTGTCTCGAGTAAAATAATGTACACACAGGGCTCGTTCCCTGACACACTTGTCGCATTCCCCTAGATCCGCACAAAGTCCGAAATATCTTGAGACGGCGTACCGGGATAGCGATTGCAAAGAAACGCAAAAGGCGAAGTCCGACTGGAGGAGGAAAAGAAGAGATCGAAATCGAAGTCGTCATCGCGGTTGAAAGGCGGATATCTCTCAAGGCGCGCAATAATCGAATTGGAAAGACCAAGCAGAACTCAGATCCAAAACGAATAGGTTATTTATTCTTTCCACCCTTGGTCGCCTCAAGGAAAAGCACCTGCTTCTTAACGACAGGGTCGTACTTCATCATGCTGAGAGGCCGGTGTACACGGGGCCGGATCATCGTGCGGTAGTAACCCGTCATGGCCATGGAGATCAGCCGGACGGCAATGGTACGGGACTTCGCTGTGCCGGGGAAAAGACGATGTTAGCCATCGGCCGCAAAAGAATCCGGGGATTTCTTAGTTTCGTTGCCATCGCCCGTTTCACAACCCCAATTGCGGCATATGTAATGCCGGATTGAACTTGCGATCGAGCTCTCGGGTTTCTCGTTCCACGTACCTTTCTTGGCCATCTTGGGCGGCGTCTCGGAGTGCTTGGTCGAGTTGTCGCTCCGAAACAATTTCGAGGTTGGAGTGGATTGTTTCCCGGAGGTCACGTGGGATTTGCTTAGTCATTCTTCTCTGGGCCAGATAGTTAGTTAAACCCACCTGTATGTTAGTTAAACATTTCGCTGATATGCAAGTTTTGAGCTTATGACGATTGTTTTGAAGCGGCTAACTGTAAATGCGTTAATTCAATATCATAACATGCGAGGTTGATAAGGACCAATAAAGTCTGCCAACTTCCACCGTTCTCTCGATATCTCATCGTGGACCTATGGATGGTCCAGGACCTACCACGCCCCTGCCAGTTCATCCTGGGTTTTGCAATTGGCTCGACTCTCGTGGAACTGGCCAATTCAGGACAAGCTTTAACGGCTGCCTTGGTGAAATTAGTAGTATGTTGATTATTGGTTGTCTTCGTAGTTGTGGATTTCCCTAAATATGCGGACTGGATACTTATGTGGGTTTGTGGCGATCTATTTCGTAGTTGCGTCCGACCATTTTCTAAATCCAGAATAGGGCGCTAATCACTAATATTTGGAGATACCTCGGTAGAGTTCTAGCTTTGCATGAGTCGTCTACGCCGATGTGACGGTATGCAAGGGCCTCCAGGGCTGAAACTCTGCCCCGCCTAGTCATTCAGGTACAATTTTCCAAGGATATCAAAAATTGGTGTTATTGGTGGCCTGATACTATAGCTATTGTGGCTGAATAACGTTGTATTTGGGCTCTTCAGGATTAGTATGTCTCACATTTTGCGGGACTGAAGGATCGACTGAAGGATCAACTGCATAGCCAATGCTGACAGGGTGATATAGACTAGTATGTGAAAAAAAAGCATTTGGTGGAAACTAGCGCCGGTGATTCCGGAGGTAGTATTTACTAGTCGCTAATTGCATGATCCTTCAGGGACCAACACAATTGATAAAGCATCACTTGCCAGGCCCCGAAAAGCAAGAATCATCTCTTTTGCAAAATCTCAACGCTTCTACTCGCAATCATGATGACCTACAGTCGCTCAATTCCCTTTGCCCTGTTTGCCTTGTTCGGCACAGGGCTCGCGCAAACCGTCGATGGCTCCAAGTTCGACAAGCCAAATGGCGGCCCTCCAGGAAGCTACTTCGCTGCTGGATCTTCCATCCCCGTCGCTGCTTTGCAGAGCGCCGCTGCAAAGGCTAGCACTGCTGTACCGGATGCAACCTATCCCATCAATGGCGATAAGGGCGCTAAAAAGGTTACCATCCATAGTGACTGGACTAAGTTCGATGAGGTAAATACTCTTCCTAGCTGGCTAATTGCAAGATAACATACTTATTAAATCGACAATAGGGTGCGGCATATGTTTGGGTCGCGGATATGGACGTCGACTGCGATGGTATTGACCATAAGTGCAAGGTAACGGTGACTATTATTGTCTGTCTGAGATGTCACTGCTGACCCGATGCTGTAGGGAAACCCGGATGGCCAGCCCACAACCAACTTCGGTGCTTTGGCTGCCTATGAAGTCCCGTTCTTTGTGATTCCCGACAGGTTCGGGACCAAGTACGCGAAGCAGCTTCCTGGAAACAACGTTGGTGCAGTTATCTGGTATAATTTACCCCATCTGGCTGATATTTTAGCTGCGTCCCGTTCTAACTAAAAGCTAGTAATGGAAAGATGTTCTACGGCATTTATGGAGACTCCGATGGCGATACTCCTCAGGTTATTGGCGAAGCCTCATGGTTGATGGCCCGGACCTGCTTCCCCAATGATGACTTGAATGGCAACAGCGGTCACGGTGATGTTGATGTGACCTGTAAGTTCGGAACATCTATGTCTTTATTTGGCAGCTACTAATCCAACAAGACATCCTCTTCACTGGTGACGACTCGGTCCTCCCAAGCAGTGCTCTCAACAAGAACTATGTCACCAACTTCAGCACTCTGCGGTCTATGGGAGACAAACTAATGACCTCTCTTGCGAAGAACCTCAAGCTAGTAGATGGAGGTAACGGAGGTTCTTCTCCCACAACAACTACGGCTGGCTCCAACCCTACTAGTGGGTCTTGCGAGTGGGAGGGACACTGTGCTGGTAGATCCTTCTTCCCATACTTTTCTTCGCGGTTACTAATTAATTTTGCAGGTGCTTCTTGCAAGGATGAGAATGACTGCTCAGGTCACCTGGTCTGCAAAAGTGGAAAGTGCACCAGTGAGTGATTGAAACCCGGTAGCTAGTTATAGGAAACATAGCATAAATGGCAGAGATCTGTAGCTTTCACAATAGCTACAAATGACAATGCGTTAGTCAGATAAGACCGAGAATGAGACTTAAATAAGTAATAAGCGTGAAATAGATCCATGGATGTTTTCCTTTGTTAATAAATTGATAGCTTGCTAGTTGTCGCATATAATGGTTCAGGTATAGGATAGTTGTTCGTACTGTGTAGATCCAAACCTGTCTTGGTATTCATGGTTCTGGCCTAGTGAAGCTACTCCGTCGGATGATTGCAGCGGTTCAATGGTTATTGGTGTATCAACCTTGGAGTTTCTGGCCAGGTTGGATCTGCACAGTATGCAGCCACCATATATCACCCAGTTGCTGCAACGGCAACTGCCAAAGCAGCTGAATTCCTGATAAATCCTGGCCTCATAACTGACAAACTACTGGGTACGACATATAGAGTATGAAACAGTGATATGCAACTAACTAAAGGGACCTCCCGAGGTCGGGAGTTTTAAACTGGCAGAACTAGCAGATGTTAAAGGGCGGTATACAGGACGGTATATCTGATCCCACTGTATGTGCTAACTCCATAACTGTTGAACTTTTTGACCGGCAGAATGCATAATCTGGGGGTATGTCCGGCCCGGGTGCCCGGGGCGGTGGGCCGGTGGGTACAATTATTTGCCCAGTCATTGTACATATGTAGGTATATTTTGTATGAATTATCCATACAAAAGATACTTATATACGTCATGCAAAATATGTTTGTGTTTACAACCTTTTATGTATGTATTTCTGTTTTATACCTAGGTATCCTCTTGCCATTGCAATATAGATTATATAATGGCAATTTCTATTCTGAGCTGATTCAAGACTTCTTCTCAATTCTATGTAACCGTTCTATCTATGGACGAGGTACGGTGTAAGGGGAAAATTGTTGAGGATAATTTGCAATCCAATCATGTGATGTTTCCAGAAGGCGTGCTTGCCTGTTGGGTTTGCTCCGGTCACCTGAGAAATCACCTGAAATACCAGAAACGACCAGAATGCGGGGAATGTTCGGCCCGAGCAGCCAATTGGATAATAATGCCTCAAACCTCCTGTGGGAATGACTTCATTGCCTGCAATTTCTGCAATTACTCTAAATAGAACAACCTATTAAAGCAAAAGAAACGTAAATGTTTCCAGGGGTCATTTGATCCATTTGCGTGATATTACCTAAAAATTCGGTTTGCGTCGGGGAAATGCTAACTCCTTTCAGCCATGTCTTACGTTTTATGATCAAATGTGAGTCTAGAATCCCATCTTTTTACGTGATTTCACAAGGATCGCCAAGGGATTCCATAGAATTTTGATATCATGCTTGCAGCGCAACTTGGGGTTGGACCGGATGGCGTTATAATGATCTACCCGTGGAACTCCCCCGCAAAATCTTTATAAAGGGGATATCTTCCCCGGACTTGAGAGCCGACAGTACGATTCAATCCCAAGCTTTCTCTTCCCGTGTTACTTTCTCGAGTACCTTGTTACAAACAACTACAATTCTATGTGAGTAACATATTTACCTCCCTACGCCTGACAGTTACTCATACAAAACCTTAGTCAATGGTCCAGGGTCAATCCTCCTTCACCATGACTATCCAACTAGAGCGCTCGTCAAATGGCTGGAAATGCGAACAATGTGGACTTCCCGGAGTGCGTCTATCCACAAGCTCAGGCTCGGCATACTACAAATGCGTCCCATGCAATCGCTCCTTGGGCCCTTGCCCTTGCACCACACCAGGAGCCAGAACAACCTCGACGTGTCCGTGTGGTGACAGTGATGCCGAATCATCAGGGGAGGACGAGGTGCCTCGCGGTCTCTCCATGCTTTCTACGAAGAAGCAAACATTCAACCCACACAACCCGAACCCAGGGTTCGAGGAGGATTGGGAGGCAAATTGCAGTCCAGGCTTCATGGTCTCGAGGTTCAAGGCTCAGGGCAGGGAAGTCCTTCTCTGGCCTTGAAAATGATGCATTTTTGGGATTTTGGGAATAGCGAGCATTGTCAAATTTATCAAGTGTCTACACTCGATCGTTGCCTTTCAAGGCGACGCTAGGATTCTCGAGTAAAAAGTTCATATATCTATCACTAATAGGAGCCATGGCTTTGACCATAATGAAGAACCTTTGGGTATCCACCTATCAGCGAAGATCCACGAACGTACATAGGCAAAGACGAATAAGAGTTAGTATACTTCAATAACTGTCTACTGCGACTTCGACGCCGTTTGTCCAGGTAAATGAAATCTTATATTCATATTGTACACTGGTCATGTATCTGCTGCCTTGTCGCCTTGTTGTACAGATACTGTTGGGACTATAGGCGTATCAGCGCATTCGACTTGAATAACACGATGCTCAATCCCTTTGTCGGAAACCCCAATCACAACCGCACTTAATTGATGGCCGTATAAACACCCTGAATCCAGCCCAATTGCATACTTGCTTAGCTGCAAACGACGTTTCGCATCGTGTCCGAATATCACCGTGGTCTTGGATGCTTGCCTCTCTTGCCACCGGTCCCATTCCATAACCCAGCTTTCTTCTCCGGAAATTTCAGCTGGTATGAATCCGTCCTCATCGCCTGATGTACAGACAAGGCTCCGCATATGAATTACAGCGTGCGGATCTTGGTCATCAAGTGAGATACTAGGAACGAGGCCTGCATGTACCACAACTAAATTGTCGCCCAAGGAGGATGTTGGGACATGAGGTAGCTTGACGCAGAAGATAAAAGGCAAAGCAGCAAGCCAGTCGAGCTGGCCAGTCGAGAGCGCTGATGCTGTACTATGCGAGGTAGCAACTCCGCTACTTGCAGCAGATTCGCTTTTGTCGGGAATCTCGGAATCTCGAGCATTATCCCCGGGTAGGTCGGCTTCAGGCTTTTCAGGTACGGCCGGACTGCCAGCCAAGCCTTCGGCATGTAGTGGACTATCCCTTGTAGCATCCGCGGCCGCATTAAGAACTGCATTTTCGTGGTTGCCTCTCACAGCGCTAGCGCCTAGGTTCATAGCCAGATCGATAACACCAGCACTATCGGGCCCTTTATTGATTAGGTCGCCAACTAGTATAAGATGATCTCCTTTGCGTTTGTCGAAGCCGACTTTGTCTAGGAGTGCCTCGAGGGACTTCCTCATCCCATGTACATCGCCTACAATAACCAAGCGTCCACTGACAGGGCCATCTTCGGAAGATGATAGGAGGGGCTGTAGAATGAGGTTGGTCGGTAGGTCTGAAATAAAGGTTGTGATTGGAAATATCTTGTCGGAAGATTTTGTAGGGGGCATTTTTTAGACTTGAAGCGTATGTTTAACTGGGAGAAAAGAAGTGATGCGGCTAAGCAGGGGTTATATAAAGTAACCCAATACAGACTAGCGTGGTTCTGGGTACGGGTAGCATCCATGGATGTCCACGGGCGATACTCCCGAGGTCACGCCGTACTAGCTGTACGATCGTATGTATATTTTACTTCGTTATTTAATGATCTTGCTTTATTTAATATATTACCTTCTTTCATTTTTTCCTTCCTAATCCCTGGAACCATCACCTCATTCTGTTTTGGCAGGTTACAATCGATACTATTTATAGTTTCGGGATGCAGCAGCTGAAGCTCCTACCCACACCGCCGCTTGTATTAATAAAGCGATAACAGGTTTAACATGAATGGAGAAGTGTATACCCGCAAAGAAAAGGTTCCTGGCTAAGAAATCACTTATAAAAATGGGTCGAGATAGTGTGTCGAAACTTCTCAATGGTTCTTTGAGTGTCCATATGCCATTTATTTACCCATATACCTAGGCAAGTAAGTGTAAAAAGCATACTACGGCAGTGGAGAACGCTTACGGTCACTTCTCTTGATTTCAACTTGGAATCCAATGATGGATATCCAAGTCAATATCCGGAACTCGACCGTAATAGTTAGGGTCGAGCATATCAGATGCATTTTGTATTGAGATAAATGTTGTTGGCACTTGGTACCAGGATCGAGGACAAGGGTGGTATACGCGCCCCTAGGTGAGGGTGATACATCGCGGGAGACGGTGTATGGGCCTGAACAAAGGCGTTTGCGGGAGGACCATGTGCGGAGGAAGTAAGCATATGAGGTGTATGATGGCCAATGGCTAGTCTACTTATAAGGGGAGATGCACATTAGATTGGTCTGACTTCAAATAAATATGCGGTGCAAAGAGGTATATGGATATGGTTGAGAATACAGACTTTTATTCCTGACTTTGTTAACTTATTGTCACTATTTCATACTCTATTATTGATGCGCAGAATACCAAGGGTTAGCATAGAAATAAAGCGACCATGAACCAAATCCTAAGTGACCACGAAAGATCCCTTATGTGAGACCAGTCTGAAATGACCTTCTGTGTGGAAGGTAAGCGCCCTTAGCAATGTGCCAAGGCAGGTCGGAGATATTCCTCTAAGCGTTTGGAGTCCTTTGAGTCTTTTAGCAGGGGCCGAAGGGGCCAGACACCATGTAGCCCAAGGTGTAGTTCTATATGATTGGCCCAACTCTATCGAGGCATGATGCTAATGCCGTTGAGATCGGGTATTTTGTACGATTTCCAAAGTGGAGTCACACAGATCGTTTCAAGGTCTGGCAATTCTCCGAGATGCATGTTTCCGTTTCAAATCTATGTCCTATCGAAGGTTGAATTGAGAAGATGTTATGACATGGCGCTTTACAGATCTCAAATTGTATCTAATTGATTAACACAAGACTCACCGGACCTTCCGATTGGAACATAATGGCACTCATTGGATCTGGGACGAAATGACCGAAGTAAGATTGCATGACTTCACTCAAAGAGAATATCCGCAAATGAACGGACTACATCTACCGCGAGGCGTTTCTTGGCAGTCGTTTCATCTTTCCCATACTTTTCCGGACCGATCCTCCTCAATTTAATCTACCATTTTGCCATTTCCTCTACTTCTACTGGTCCGATCTGGGACATAATGGGGTTTCCATTTTGCTTGGCTTCGTTTAACGTCACCCACTAGTGGTTCGGTCATCTTAGGCGATCTCCAGCCTTATACCTACAATTGCATATGTGGAAATTTGAAACACCCCGATGCAAGGTATACGCTAAATACTTCTGACCGGTCTCTCTGCGACTATAAGTACTGCGCATCTGCTCATGATAACCCCCATTATATCTTCACTATCCTTCAGTCCCTCCTTTTACTGACACTTGCTGGATTCAAGTTGTCTATCCGTTCCTTTCTCCACACAGTTCACTTCTTACACTCCTTTACTTAAACCAATTTTACCAAAATGATGAACTTTCCCCAAAATTCGGGCTCGCAGGTCCTAGCGACCAAAGGCAAGCTGGTAGTATCCTGCGTTCTGGTCCTCTTCTTCCTAGCCATCGGGATGGACCTCCGAGCTGAGCTCGGAGCTGGACATAACCAGAAGAAGAACCTCAAGCGCGATACCACCAGCACTGGCGATGCCGCCATCTGGCAACCAGCAGCCGGAGTCAAATGGCAAATCCAACTCGTTGACGCCGTCGAAGACACCACCGTCGATGCCGACATCTGGGACATCGACCTCTTCGACAACACCGCCGAGACAATCACAACTCTCAAGGGCAAAGGCCACAAGGTCATCTGCTATTTCTCTGCGGGCACGTACGAAGACTGGCGCCCCGACATTAGCAAGTTCGACACCGCAGACTTCGGCAGCAGCCTCGATGAATGGCCAGGCGAGCGCTGGCTCAATATCAAGTCGAGCAGCGTCCGCGCGATCATGAGCTCGCGGCTGGATATGGCGCAGCAGAAGGGCTGCGATGGTGTTGACCCGGATAATATTGACGCATATGGGAATGAGAACGGTCTTGGGTTGACGGAGGCTGATTCGGTTGATTTTTTGACTTTCCTGGCGTCGGAGGCGCACTCCCGTGGCATGTCTATCGGGTTGAAAAATGGTGGTGATATTATCGGTTCCGTTATTGATAAGATGCAGTGGTCAGTCAATGAGCAGTGTGCCGAGTATAACGAGTGTGAGGTCTATGCTGTCTTCACCGAAGTCAATAAGCCTGTTTTCCATATTGAATATTCCGGGGAGACTATTGAGTCTGTCTCTGATGATACTTCTGACTCGGCCACCGAGAATACCACTGGAAGCGAGGCTATGGCCACTGCCACTGTTGCTGCTATTCCTGCTTCTACTTCTGCTGCCGCTCCAATCAGCACAGACGTTGATGTAACTACGACTGGCAGCACCGATGGTACTACCGATGCTGACACTGGCATCGACTCTGATGAGGACAAGGACGAGGCCGATGAAGATGATGAGGAGGATGAGGAGGATGAGGAGTACGAGCTCGATGAAGACGATGAGGAAGACGATGAGGAAGGCGCCGAGGAAGACGAAGCCAGCGCCGCTGTCACAAAGGAGCAAAAGCACCGATACGGACACGGTCACCACAAGCTCCGAACCAGAGCCGTTCTCTCCTCCACGTTGAAGACATCAGCCTGCAACGCAGTCAACGCCGACAAGTTCTCGACTGTCATCAAGAATATGAACCTCGATGCCTGGGTTGAATATTGCTAGACGATCAATCCATTGTGGTATTTGTTCGTACGGCAATAAATCAATTTGCACGTATTTCGGCTGGAGAGAGTTGTGGAGGAATGACTGTCGCTATCGTATACAGTTTGAAGAGAGAGCTTAGAAAATATGCAAGAGATATAGTACAATATAAGCGACGCTTCTGCCTTTGCGACTAGAACGAAGTATCCATAAATTTGGCCAGTGTTGTGTAGAGCGATGCATACCTCCAGTTGAGGAGACAAAAGGAAAGGCATCAGAACAGACACGACAACTATAAGAGTGTGGCTATACTCTTTTTAAGGCAAGTAAGAAGATGAAACTATTCCCACTTTGCACATTCTATATTCATCCAATTTCAGGCGTTACAGCCATTTCCCACAGTATAAATGTCTATTATCTCCGTATCCTCCTCCCAATAGCCCCGACGTGGCAAAGCAGCGCATGTTTCAGTCAAGCAACCTTCTTGTTTCATTTTTCTCCTATTTTCTCAACTACAAATTCATCTTGTTAACGAAAACGCCAGTGATATGGAATAGGTAGTAACCCTGTCGCCAGCACATCATCTCCCCTCACACACACAAATCCTCAGAAACCATGAACTTCTCGTCCCTAGCATTCGTTGCCTTCGGGATCACATTAGCATCCTGGATCTCACACCCCTTCAGCACAGATTCACGACCAATCTGAGCTCGTCGACCAATCACACACCCAGTCAATTCAGCCCTGGACTCCACGACAACACCCTCCATCAAAACACAACGAATGATACGGGCAGCGCCAGCAATGTGGCAGTTTGCACCAATCACACTCTCCTTAATAACTGCACCCGATGCAACAATCACATTCTCGCCGAGCAGACAATCTTTCTTTGTAACAGTACTAGGCGAAGCCACGCCTTCGGGGTAGGCAACTTTATGGGCGTGCGCGAAAGGCGACGCTTCCTTGCGGCCAACTTCGTCGACAGATGGCAATTTTGCCAGGAAAAGGGAGGTTGAAAGAAGGACGCCTGTGTTATCGACTCGTCGGATGAAGGGAGTTGATCCTCGGTGGACGTAGGCTAGTATTTGGGGCATTTCAGTATATCGATAAGACTGCTCTGGGTGCAGATCGGAGTTAGAGCTGGCCTTCGTCGTGCTCATGTCCCTGATATCGATTAATTTGTCGACGAATGCGCCAGTATGAGTGCTTTCGGGGGTGAATTCTGTCTCCTGGGTGGGAGTGATGTCTTCGTTGAAGTTCTTGGTCAATCCTAGCTTGTCGCCGAGACCTTTCTGCCATGCTGACTTGGCCCAGGTGCCGACTAGATCCTCGCTAATGGATTCCAGTTTGCGTTGGAGGTGGACTAGGTCTTTGACCCAGTAGGGGAAGACGTAGATGTGGGCATCGCGGAAAGTGGTGAGCATCCTGATGCGCGGACAATTCTCGACGAGAGAATGGCGAATGAGCAGGCCTTTGTCTTCTTTCATCTTTTCCTTGATTGTAATCATCGGCATTGACACGAGGAGTTTGGACAGACTGAATCGCGGGATTATCGGTCCCTCGGGGCCATGGATAACGGGTGCTTCGTTTTGTAGGGGCGGTGCAATAGCTATGAAGTCAGTTGCTTCTTCTTGGATGCTGTCCTCTCGCTTGTCTGCCTGGTAATACACAGCGAGACCGCCGGAGCGAGCTTGCAGCTGACGATCGAAGTAGGAAGTGGTTGGAGGGGATGCATGGCGACCCCCTTTAGAATCACTGCTCTCGTCGATATACTGATTGGCAATCCACGCCTCGAGGATTGACTCTCCAGGGATTTCACAAATGAGGTCACAGGGAAGAAGGAGGAAATTGGTGGTGATACATCTCTGGACTTCGGGGAGGCGAAGGAGCTCGGCGGTTCCCATTGTCATCTCGAGGTCCTTCGGTGCGACAACTGAGACTGAGGGTGAATAGAACGACGTAAGGTATGGGTTTTGGTCCAAGGCGGTCCGAAGGGGAGAGAAGGACAATGGAGGGGTGATCAATGTGATATCTGGGATATAATTAACCAGCCATACTCGCTTCAACGGGTCAAGACAGCAAGAAGATTTGGACTTACCCGTGACACCTGATCGCCTGCAATAGTCAATAGCATAGAATACCATGGGTCTGTTTGCGACTTGAATCAGGCACTTTGGATACTCCTCGGGTCTGGAGGTGAATGTATTGAGTGAACCTCCAGGGCCACACAGGATGAGTGCCTGGAAGTCCATTGGACCCGCGTGTGGCATGGTTGGTAGAGTGGAGGATCAAGAAAGTGAGATTATCAAGGCCTTAACGGCGTGGTATGTGTGAGAATGAAAGGTGAGAAGTTTGGAGGTGAGACATGCGTTAAAGCAATGCGTTAAAAGGAAGGTCACGGGTGAGAGAGGATCTGAAGTTGTTTGCTTTGGCTGTATCCCAGGGGATATTACGTTCAAGGCTTGTGTATGCTCACTCTCTCTACTGTCAGGTTCTGCTACGTTCGATTTTTGCTAGCCTCAGGACTCCGGGTTTCAGGCAGACAACTTAAAAGGAAACCTGAAATAAAGTAAGATGGGCTCAGTTGAGTATTGGCTTGCTCCAAGTCTTGTAGAATCGGCACCTGAAATTAAGATATCCTGATTAAAAAAGAGAGAAAACCCCTGCAGATCAGGCTATTGGTTACGAGCCCAGTTAGCGATTTCTTGCAGATTGGTGCGTTTCCTTAGATTGAGCCCGACTCATAATATTCACCAGCTGCGATAAAGCGGTCGTAATAAAGCCAAGATAACAGCAGGCAAAGCGTAATTTACTCCAAAGCCGCCAATACCATGGCGATCCAGTAGACCGTGAATGTTGTACAGCGTTAGACTTGAAAGGAGTGCTTTTATATCCCCCCAGCTCCAGATTTTGTCTTCCCGGAGATGCCGAAGAGGATAGACGGCCTTGAGGAGACTTCTCTGTCAAAATGCGGGCGGTCTCGGGAGATTCTGGCAATCTAATCTTCCTGCATATGGAGTAGATCAATGCTAAAATCCAAAAAGATGTCCGACTCCTTTTGATCAAGATGCAGGTTTTCTTTGCTCTAAACCAGAATTCAAAACTACAAAGATTTGACCAGAAAAGGTCAATGCCTTCGGGATAGCAGGATTAGGCCAAATTCAGACTACGGTGTTGTTATATCAAATCCCCTCAAGTGAAGATGCATTTATGGACTGTCTATATGGCAGGTAGATTTATGCTATTTTGATGGTAGAAGAATACTATACTCTAGGTGCCCATTGAGAATTTCAAGTCCCAGGTGACATACTCTAGAAATCGGAATACGCAGAGGATCCTGATATGAAGAAACTGCGTGTTCGGATTCCTATCAAATAGAGCAGGGAGGAAGGAGAGAGACCAAATTTGACTAGGAAACAGGTCCTGTCTCCATTTGATGCCTTGTGGATCAAGCATCAAACACATAACTAACTACTTGTTACCTGTAGGAAGATTCAGGACAGTCAACATTTCTTCCTTGAAGGTGTCAAAGGATTCTAGCGATAACTGAGTCCGTTTGATTGTAGGGAAGCTCATTTTCATTGTGGCCGTCGTCGGGTTGGCAAGCGTGTGGATTTTCACCGATAAACCGAGTCAAAAGGGGAGCTGTCTACCAGCCCGGCGGTTTCTGGCATGAGAATCTTCCCCAGCTCTGCATTGCGGCGGGCGGCCTTCACCTCGATAACAGCTCGTAAGGCGTTCGTTGTGTAGACAGCCATCTGTGTACGACGTGTAGTAGGCCCCTTTCCTGAATGTTACCCGATTATATCCAAATAGGGAATTCGGGCGGTGACGATAGTGCGAAGGATGGCATTTTTAAGGAAATATCCCACCACCCGTGGACGGACGTCCCGTGAAGCACTATATGTATCGGATCATTCGACTAATCTCCTCGTAAGCGAGATTGCACTTGCCTCCTTCGATGCAGCTCACTAGCAACAACGGGTTACCCCGTGTAGTCCGCGTCATTATCCCGTGTGTTGCACGCTGCAGTGGGCCTGGATGGCCTCTGCTCTAATGAAAAAGGGTGTTAGCAATCTATTATTTGTTAAGTGCTCAAGATATTTAACGCCAACAAGCATTCACTACTAAGGTAGGTTTTGGATAGGAGCTTACTCTTGCTCTCCGCCCACCGGGGTAGGGCAGGTTGCACTCGCTGAGCAAGTGGCCGCTCAATGCAGTCTTCGAGGGTGGTCCGGGAGGTGCCGGAGGCTATGGCACTCTGAGGGCCGGCATGAGTGGGGGTGCCTTTGCGGCAGCTTCGGCGGCCGAACCCAGATGTTAGTAATGCTCAGTCAATTCCAAGGCTTTCTTGATGGTTCTCTTACTCGAGCTTGGCGCTTCTTTTCTTTTCTGCATTTCTTTGGGTTGCAGTGAGCGCCATTGTAAACTTAGAGGGAAAAAAGGAAGGAGAGTTCACGAACGAGGGGAGAGGGCCTTTTATATCTGGCCCATTCAGGTTTAGATGGTCTTTTCAGTGGCCTTTTCAAGCTTCACTCCCTCACCGGCATTGACCAGGTAAAGACTAATTCCGTAGTGCAGATAGCCAATGATGGGTAGTGGAATTTGAGAAATAGGTCGACCTGGCCGATCGTCGCACGCAAGGACAATGTAGTTTGGCATGGATAGTCTTACCGGCCAAAAGCAAATTTAGGTCCCGCACTATTCACATGAGGTGTTAGTGCCAGATGATATGATCCCCTTATGGGCTTTGGATTTCATCTCACCTGTATTCATCGAAGATGCTCTCCTCAGACAACAGAATGCTTTCAAGAGCCCTGCCACACGAGGACCAAGGCTGTCAGGGTTTTGCCTAGGCCGCGGACATCCACTAGGATGCCACCTACCATAAGACTCGCCTCCTAGTCCAACATTCACGACGTAGCCGTGACTTGCCACGGCATAAGGGTCATGGGAGCCACTCCGTAGGTATTTAGCGGGTCGATGAAGCCATTGCCATTGGGATTGTTTGACATGCGGGTATTCACCAGACTATCCCTGAACCTCCGTGGAGTGGTAGGGACCATAAGACTGGAGCATTGCTGTTAGACCCAATCGGGGGCATCTAGAATCTGTAGGGGACGATCGTTGTGAAGAGTCTTAAGCTGACGGTCCCGGTGAGCCTGCTTCTCGGCGATTTCATTGGCAATTTCGGCCAATTCTTCGCTCGACGTGATCAACTTGTTAGAGGAAGGAGTTTTCAGATCAGCTGGGAGGTCCGATACTTGGGAAGTCTTTGCAGAGGGAGCCTGGTAAAGAACAAAGGGAGTTTGAAAGCTCGCCATGTTTCTACGCTCTCTTTGCTAGAAGTGACGAGCACTCGTTCTCTTCAGCCCGTCTCAAACAGTGTTTCGCATCACGATATATCTGTTTGAAGATCAGGGAAGAGTCCTTCACCTAGTCTTAGAATGGAGCTGCGCTGCGTCTGGACCAATCTTTGGCCAGGGTATTGTTGATTTGTTGCCGCCGCTCTCACCGGCTCATCGTTGGTGGGGCATGGGGCATCTATAATATGAATCTGGACCATTATAAGTGTTCCACAATATCCAGCGTAGATATAGGGATCTTACCTCCATTCTTTCGCTTTCCATATCGCCAAGGGGGGTGGTAACCGTCACCCTGCCGTCGATAGCTCGAGTTTGATGTATAGCTCTGTGCCGTCCTGTGAGATCAAGGAAAAAGGGGTATATACCTCGCAATATTAGCACTATATACCATAGCTGAGGCTGGGGTATAGAAACGCAAATCTTACCGGTACTTCCGCCGCCCTTAATGGACACTTGGGGCTCATAGCCATTTCGTGATCCTGCTTTGGCCTCATGGATTATCTTTATTGGCCCGCCTTTCTCCCCAAAGTACACATTTTTGTGCCCATTTCCCCTTAGGTGAGAGCCCGAACAAGGCTGTCTCGGTCAGCTGGGATAAGTGCGCAGGTGGGGCTCGAGCCAACAAGCTTGTTGTGGGTGAGCTAATGTGGAGGCGCTTTGGTGTGTCTTTATTGACTGTTCCCTCAGAGGTCTGTTGCTCGTCTCTAGTACCTTCCGTTGGTGTAGCATTGTCAACATGCTGGAAGCGACACCCGTTCGCTTTGAGATGGCGGGGGGTCCAGAGTAAGGGATGAACTAAAAGCTCGCGATTATTGAGAGAGAGTAAGAGTCCTCACAGAAGACGTCAGATTGTGATCCAGGGTGTCTTCCGAAGGTTTGGTATCAGGGTTAGGTCACCAGCCAAGTAGTTTATTCGACAGTGACGCTAAGCTTTTTCTCCCAAATCAACATCACTGTTTCGTCGGTTTCTTTTCAGATCAAAAACACTGTTTCCTCAGTTCCTTTCCCTCTAAGACACTATCTTGTGAAGCTCGTCATGCTGGCTCCTTCCATGTTTTGATCTTCAGTATGGGGTACGAGGGACCATCACCATAACCGGCTTTGTACCTGGCAGAAATTATATAACTAGTGATATACCCGGGCATTAGAATCGCTCAGTCTCAAATTACCATTGTCCCTGAACACCGTGTAAATATTATAAAGAAGCCCCGTATATTTATAGGTATAAGGGAGAGGTAGTGTGTCAGGACTTCTAGCATGGAGATCACAGAGAAAGAACTAAGACTGTTCATGGCTTGGGAAATCGGCCTAAAGCAGTGAAAGGTTTGATGTTTTCCAAACCATCAATAAAAGGGAAAAATATCTAAAAAGTTAGTTTGCATATAAGGAGATATAAGGAGATACCTGAAAAGAATAAGAAAACTAGCATGATTTTACACCAGACTGTATTCAACAGCTAATTCTACTTTGCTTTTTCCGCTTCGGGCTTGTATTGATCGATCTTATGAAACAGTTTTCTTCTGAAATTTGAACATCGCGGACTAAAGAGTTTCTATTTCATAAGGAATAGCATTCCAGCCCCTGCTAATCATGTTTCTACAACTTAGAGGTAAGTCGGGGAGTCACCGTATACTTCTGTGTATACTCCTGGGCGCCGACGGAGTATATGATCATCTGAGCGGTGGCATAGGTAACCCTGTACTTAGAGCAGCCTATGTGACGGATCTCCTCTGGTAGTGACATTCTGTCATATTTCTCCATCTGGACTGAGACCCGGGCTCCTCGATCGGTCCGTTGCTTCTGGGTTGCCTATCGGTTCATAACATTGAGGCCAGGCGCGGGTCATTCCAGGTCGTTGATTTAGTTTGTGATCAACAAAGTAAACTCTGCCATCATCTCTGAAT